AAAACTTTAACGTCATTATAAATTTTTTTATATTCAAGTTAAAAAAACATTCATGTAATGATTTAAAAATAATGGTTGATATATTAATATTAATATAATTAATTTCAGTATGAAATTAACTAATAATTTTTATATTAATATTTCATGGAAAAAAATAATTATTAAAGTAATTTGAGAACCTCTGCAGGATAATTAGTAAATCATTTTTTCGCATTAGAAATTAATTTAAACCAACATGTCCCGTTCTGAAAAATTTATCTCAGTTACCAATTAGCATGTTATTAAGTAGTGAATTAAACAGAGTAGAATTGATATGATTTGCATTCCGGCTTTTCTAAACAGCCCCCGATCACGAACTCTAATTTATTTCAAGATCTTAGCCACAACCATTTTCTCACGATATGTGGGAAAAACGGTAGCTGAAACCATGATATCAGTTTCATAGAAAAGTAAGAAATATCGGAGAACTCTCTGGTGTATGGACATATATGTCGGATATTGTATTTAAAATTATTCAATGCCAACTTTTTCTTTCGTTTTTATAATTGTTATTAATTATTCAGTAGCATATTTCAGGATCACAGAATTTTCTGAGTAAAAAGTTATTTTATACATTTACTGAATTTTGGGAAGAAAATATTATAATTTTATATTTTTGTTATTTGAGCATTTTACAATTTTATGGTTTTACAATTTCAAGGTTTTTCAATTTTTCAATTTTTCAATTTTTCAATTTTTCAATTTTTCAATTTTTTAATTTTATAGTTTTTCAATTTTACAATTTTACAATTTGGTAATTTAACACCCTGGAAGTTTGTCAATAACCATCCTTAACTCTATTAAAATGGTGAAAAATATAATTTTCCAAAATTGGGTTCCATACTTAGGTTTGTTATCTTGCTACTGGTGAGTCTTTGTATACTAGTACGACAGTATAAATGTTTGCTCTTTGTACTCTGATGCTGCGAGGATAAATGTATAGTTCGCAAACCACATATATTCTCCATGGACGGAGGTTAAAGGTATGTAGGGTAACGGTATACGTACAAGTGAAAAAATCAATGAAAGGACTTGAAAGGAAGCTACCTTTGTTTTGCATTCAATTCGTCTAGAAAACGTGTTTCTACGTCTAAACAAACACTGTAGATATCTAATACAGTGTATAATTCATCGTTCCAAATAACAAAAATATCAAAATTACATGCAAATTATTACAACTGCTTATACATAAATTTTCAGTGTTTACTCTTTCAAACAAAATGATATAATTTTAGGGATTCGACTGTAGATGGCGCGACGATCGCAAGCACGTGATAATAACATCGGTTAAAACATAACCTAATCATAACATTATGTAATTGACAAACTAGTATCCCTTTTGTTAACTTATTTACAACTCTTTTGCAAGTAAACATTTGTACAAGACTGATAAATTGCTAAATAAATAAAAATTGTTGACGATGAAGAATATGTAGTAAATGATTTTCTATGTAATAGGCAACGGAGAAGAAAAAATGAAAGCTATGACTCATTTCAATGTAATTGTAGTATCACTCATGCGTTACAGTTTGTAGTTTTGAGGAGGGATATCTGTGGAACGCCCAGTTTTATCGCAATGTGAATTAATTTAACAAACATGTCTAACTTTTGCTGTACATATTTAAATATATTTGAAATGATAACAGAATTTACGAGTGCATATAATAATTAATGTACACTATGACTACACTAACCTTACCTGTAATGAAAGCTGCAGTAACCTTGACTCTAACAGGAGTATTAACCTTACCTTTAACAAGAGGTATACTAACCTTGATTTTAACAGAAGCTACACTAACCTCACCTTTCATAAAAGGTGTACTAACCTTCTCTTTAATAGGAGTTAACTAACCTCACCTCTCATGAAAGGTGTACTAACCTTCCCCTTACTAGAAGCTACACTAACCTTACCTGTAGTTAAAGCTACTAACCTTGACTCTAACAGGAGTACTAACCTTACCTTTAACAAGAGGTATACTAACATTGATTTTAACAGAAGTTGCACTAACCTCACCTCTCATGAAAGGTGTATTAACCTTCCCCTTACTAGAAGCTACACTAACCTTACCTGTAGTTAAAGCTACTAACCTTGACTCTAACAGGAGTACTAACCTTACCTTTAACAAGAGGTATACTAACCTTGATTTCAACAGAAGCTACACTAACCTCACCTCTCATGAAAGATGTACTAACCTTCTCTTTAATAGAAGTTCTAACCTCACCTCTCATCAAATAATATACTAACCTCACCTCTAACAATTAAACAACTCTTAACCCTAACCTCAAATCTCCCCTCAAAAGCAATGATCTCCTAACCTCCTAATCTTAACTAGCCTTAACAAAATGGCGTCCAAAAGAAATCCCTTTCCCTCCTAAATTATATTAGAACAAATTCTACAATAAATATTTCTGATCAAACAATGTTTACTCTAACATTGACCAGTACCTGTTGAACACCCTGTACATCCACAACGAAAAGAGAGAAACCGTGCAGGTTAGAGAGAGAGAGAAAGTAGAAAGGTTACTCGAGATCAGGATATTTAAAAGCCGCAGGAAATATCGTTCAATGTTATTTGGTCGTGTCCATTGCACGGTACAGTACGCGTTGCATTAATATGCTTTATCATTGTCCGAGGGGAATGGAAACCAGATACGTACCCGGTGGAACACCTACGAGGTGTACGTACACGGACGCGTTATTGGCACCGGCTCGAAAGATGTAGCAATCTTTGTTGCGTGGTGCGTCGATTATTTTTATAACGACAGGGATTAGATACGACGCCTGCACGCTGTTCTATGAGTCACTGTCAAACTGTCCGAGACTGTTGTTTTGTGAACCGCGAACTTTTAATCAGTGACCATTTCTGAAGCGTTCAGTGATTATTTACTGAAGCATCATTTTTTAAGCGGACTGTATTTCAGGTGTGACGCTAGTGACAATTTAGGGTGCATAGAGGAATTTTGTATCGTGATATATTTTGCAGGTAATATAATAGCCGTTTGGTTATTCGTAGGGTTTTTAGATTTTAGTGACTTAGAGAGTAGGGACTTAGGGAGACGGGGAATCAGGGAGATGGAGAATTAGAGAGATGGGGAATTAGGGAGACGGGAAATTGGGGAGATGGGGAATTCGAGAGATGGGGAATTAGAGAGATGGGGAATTTGAGAGATGGGGAATTTGGGAGATGGGGAATTAGAGAGATGGGGAATTTGAGAGATGGGGAATTAGGGAGATGGAGAATTGGGGAGATGGGGAATTAGGGAGATGGGACTTAGGGAATAGGTAGTTATGGAGCAGGGACTTATGAAATAGAGACTTATGAAGTAGGGACTTAGGAAAAGTTACAAATTTGTGAACATGAGATAAAAGCAGAAAATTGAAGCATAATTCCAGAAGGAAAGTTTCCCCCAAAACCCCCAAAGTAATTCCTATCGCAAACGTTTCATAAGATCCATATATCTATAAAACAGTAACCTGCAATTTGCATATCGATCGAACCTTCCTAAACGATTGTATCAGAACTGTTGCGTTCCAAAAAGAGAACTAAAAAAGCGATACAGTTTCACGGGTCTAGTTTCCTGCTTATTATCCCCGGCTGTTCAGCGATCATACAGTACGTAATTAGCGATATCTGTCGTCTATTATGCTCGCGGATTGATCAATAACCGTTGAATTATTCATTGACCGTTGAAAATGAACGAGTTATGAGCGGCGACAAGTAACATTGGTCTTTTTTAAGCCCGCTACCACAGTTTGCCAACTGTGTGCAGAAATTAACCAATGTATGTAACTTTAGCTTCCTGCTTTGAACGGTTTGTAAATTCCATGCAATATTTAAACCGTTCACTGTTGCTATTTATATCGCTGATAAAACTAATAAATCATGTTTGAAATCATTTTAAGCAATGCATATTTCTTCGGTCGATGTGGCAAGAATATAAATTACTGTTATTTTAGAAGGCAATATTTGGATCTCAACATGTCATTCCAGTGATTTTAATGACCTGTCATTTATCACTGGTTGCGGTTTATATGTTCGAATGCTTTTTAGTTGTTTTAGTGCAATTTAGTAAATCTAGGTTATATTTTTGTGAATGGTGTTTTGAAAAAATGTTGATCGTTGGTAAGTCCACATATCCACGTATCTCCAAATCCCCACATATCCAAATCTGCTAATTCCATAATTCTCCAAATTCCCCATCTCTCTAATTTCCCATATTTGTAACTCCCCATCTCTCTAATTCTTTATCTCTCAAATTCCCCATCCCTCTAATTCCCTATCTCTCAAATTCCCCATCTCTCTAATTCCCCATCTCTCTAATTCCCCATCTCTCTAATTCCCCATCTCTCTAATTCCCCATCTCTCTAATTCCCCATCTCTCTAATTCCCCATCTCTCTAATTCCCCATCTCTCTAATTTCCCATCTCCCCAATTCCCCGTCTCCCTAATTCCCCATCTCCCCAATTCTCCGTCTTCCTAATTCCCCATCTCCCCAATTCCCCGTCTTCCTAATTCCCCATCTCCCCAATTCCCCGTCTCCCTAATTCCTCATCTCCCCAATTCCCCGTCTCCCTAATTCCCCATCTCTCAAATTCCCCATCCCTCTAATTCCCCATCTCTCAAATTCCCCATCTCTCTAATTCCCCATCTCTCTAATTCCCCATCTCTCTAATTCCCCATCTCTCAAATTTCCCATCTCCCCAATTCCCCGTCTCCCTAATTCCCCATCTCTCAAATTCCCCATCCCTCTAATTCCCCATCTCCCTAATTCCCGGTCTTCCTAAGTCCCTACTCCCTAATTCACCGTCTCCCTAAGTCCCTAAATTCCTAAATTCCTAAATCCTTAAACCACCAATTCCCAAATTCCCCAAACCTCAAATACCTGAATTAAATATTAATTTCCTCGAAATTTCCATAAATCCTCAAATTCGAAGATTGTAGAAAATGGTGGTTTTGCAGGAGACTGAAGGCTGATCTACAATACCTAAGAAGGAAGGGACTTCTGAAGGCGTCCGGTGATCTATCGTACCAAGGACGTAAATGTGCCAGATGCGGTGCACCGTTTGGTAGATTTTACAACACCGGGGCTCCGTGTACACGCTGCAGGCACCGAGTTTGCAGACAGTGCCGTATCGAGGTCAGGAGCCCTACCGATAACAAAGACGTCGAATGGATTTGTAACATTTGCTACAAAATTGCGTAAGTCATACTCCATCTTCATATATTCTTTTCATTCAATAACTTTTTTCGTGATTAAAACTATGAGAAGTTTAATGAACATTTTGGTACCAAGATGGACCAAATTTGACATGTCATCTTTGATTAATAATATTGTATTTTATTGTTCTGTTTTATTTATTTAATTATGTGTAATTTACTGCTGAGGTCCATTCTATTGTGTCATATTCCTGATGAGTTATGAAATTCTTGTTACGTTGAATTAATCGAAGCGGGGTTGTTTAATTGCCGCCATTTTAGGGAGCTACACATCGTCACGGGAAAATGGCCGTACGAGAACGCACCGTCGAAGAGATCCATCAGCGGGAAGTCATCGTTTCCTGTCGAAATCTTGAAGCATAGCATCCGACGAGCTTGGACCATCAACAGTACGTTTCCCATTATTTTATATTTTATTAACAATTCTCTAATTGAATGGGTAAAAATGAAAGCACAGTGTAGAATTTCGCGAGCAGCCCCGTAACAAAAATTTCACTTTTATCGAGAGGAGGCAATAAATATGGATTGCACTTTGCATACAGGTCCACCCACACGTTGGTCAGCAGCGAGGAAGTCCCCGGAGCTGCGAATATATCGAAGTCTGCCTTCTCGTCACCAGGACTACCGGGACGTCGTGAACAAGAACGAAATCGTAAAATCCATCGACAGCGAGCCAGTCGAAACGATCGAAGCGGAAGATTGCAATGGCGTAACGCGAAACGAGACGTCCGAAAGATCCGCGTCGCGAGACGAACGAACGAACTCGAAACGAATAGAAAAATCCAATAAACAAGAAGAGGAAGTGCCATCGGCCGATGCGAAATCGAAGAAGAACCGGACAGGTAAAACGAAGAACGAAGAAGAGGAGACTCACCAGGAGCAGAGTACACCGAGAATCTCGTTGTTGAAGCCTCCTAGGATACTGACCAAACTTATTTCGCCGGAAGTTAAGAATTTGAAACATGGAGAACGGAAGTCCAATATTCCGATATTTAGGAGGAGCTCCAAGGAGTTTGAGGATATTAGAAGCCCGCAGGAGTCGCCGAAACGTTCTCTCATCCCGCAAAGGTAGCCTTATTTTTGTTATTATAGAGATTTTTAGGTTAGATTTTTAATGGGGAATATAGGGTATTCTTAAAATAAATTGAGGAGCGAAAGCTGAAATTAAAATTGCAGTGAAATTGCTTATTGAAGTAAATAAAAGAGATATAGGAATGTGCATTCGTATGCAACGTGCTGTGTCCGCATTCTTTGGTATCAAATTATCGATACTCATCCTCAGCCCGCAGTGTCAGTCCAAATCTTCAAATCTGCTAATTCCAGACTTCTCTAAATTCTCTACTCTCTAAGTCCCTGCTCTCTAAGTCCCTAAATCTCTAAGTCCCTACTCTCTAAATCCCTAAATCCCTAAATCCCTAATCTCTAAATCCCCTACTCTCTAAGTCCCTAAATCCCTAAATCCCTACTGCCTAAGTCCCTACTCTCTAAGTCCCTAGTCTCTAAGTCCCCTACTCCCTAAGTCCCTACTCTCTAAGTCCCTAAATCCCTAAATCCCTACTGCCTAAGTCCCTAGTCTCTAAGTCCTCTACTCCCTAAGTCCTCTACTCCCTAAGTCCCCTATTCCCTAAGTCCCCTACTCCCTAAGTCCCCTACTCCCTAAGTCCCCTACTCTCTAAGTCCCCTACTCCCTAAGTCCCCTACTCCCTAAGTCCTCTACTCCCTAAGTCCCCTATTCCCTAAGTCCCCTACTCCCTTAAATCCCTTCTGAAATCCCCAGCCCTCCAAATCCCAAAATTCCAAATTTCCTCAAATCGCAAAATCCACAAACCCCAATCCTCAAATATCAAAAAATTAAATTTATCATCACATAAATTAACAATATAGTGTCTAAGATTGAGCATCCTCAGCCACGTCAGTCCCAGAGCATCCGAGGGTTAAAAAACGCTCGTCCCAGTTGCTCTCCCTACACAAAAGCCCACACTTACCATAATTTCACACATTACGAAATTACTAGATACCGAGGAAGCACCGACGACCTGCGGCGCAGTCGCGAGGACATAAGCGTACCGAGCCTGATCCCGAAGCTGCTGTCTCCGCGCGCCAAGGAGGATCGTCTGAAGCGGCAGGACAGCAAGGACGACGTGCGCTGCGCGGGCAAATCGCGAAAGGAGGATACGAAGCCAAAGGAGGAATCGAGGCTGGGCAATCGACTGTTCCGCAGGGACAACAGCCGCGAGGACGTGGGTAGGGACAGCGGGAATTCAAATGCGAACGTCGCTGCAAAAGGAAAGCAAACCGGCAAAGAGGAGAAGCAAGACAGGCCCGAAGAACGCGTGGGCGTCTCTGCCACGTCGAAATCGAAGCTGCACGAACAGAGCCGGACAAGAGTGGCCGCCAGAGAGAACCCGAGGATCGCGGATACGCACGTGGAGGATGACCGAGTGAGGGACGAGGACAACGAAGACACGATGCTCGACGTCGTACTCGCTGATGAGATACTGCTGAAGGAGGAGACCGTCAGGAAAACGGATAAGCAGGAGCGCGACGGATTCCCGGATACCGACGTTCAAGAGAAGAGAGGAGATTCTATGAAGGACACTTCGGAGGGATTTGTCGAGGACGATGTCGCTGCCTTCAGGGCGCTGGAACGGAAGGAAGCCACGCATGGAAAGAAGACAGACGATTTTCAAGTGGTTAGTACGGATGTGGATGCTGAGTGTTGCTTTGATAAATCTTTGAGAGACGATTAGTGTGAGGATATTTAAGGTCATTAGCTATCAATGATATTACTTTTTCACCTTCAAAAAGTAACCTTTAGTAATTTTGAGATGAATTCATGGATCTAGAAAGATGAGCATCTTGTGACTTAATTAAATTAAACATCAAGTTAGGTTAGGTTACATTAGAGTTATGTGGTTAGGTTAAATTAGACTTATATGTATGAGGTTAGGTTTGATTAAACTTATGTATATGAGGTTAGGTTAAATTAGACTTATGTGTATGAGGTTAGGTTAGATTAGACTTATGTATATGAGGTTAGGTTAAATTAGACTTATGTATATGAGGTTAGGTTAATTTAGACTTATGTATATGAGGTTAGGTTAGATTAGACTTATGTATATGAGGTTAGGTTTGATTAGACTTATGTATATCAGGTTAGGTTAGATTAATTAAATTAAACATCAAGTGAACCTTGAACGATCTTAGGAACCTTGAATGACTTTCAACAATTTCGAGTAACCTAGAAGAACTAATATGTGCAGCTACATAAATTCATCTTGAAATAGTACATATTTAATGACCTTGAAGTCCATGAATGACCTTCAGAAATGACTGTCCACATCACAATACTCAATGCAACAACAATTAAAAATATATAGGATACTTTCAAACACAAATATTTATTACAAAACAACAGTATTCACATGATACAACTGTTTTTCTTCAGGTACGTCGAAAATTTTCCAAGGAGGAGTTCTCCAATCCAGACGATACCGACGACGCCCACAATAAACGTTGCTCCAGCGTGAGTTTCCTTTTATTTCACTAACAATGTTTGCACTATGGTTCGACAAAGTTTACAGACCTAATTGTAAACGTGGCACAGGGTGTCACCCTATAATGCTTTTACTAATAACGTGTTTGAGGAAACCCGTAAGTCCCATGAATTCTTAATTCGTCCCAGATTATATTTACATTCACAAGTTCTTCTATCATCATTAACGTCAACATTGACCTGAGTTTATGAGGCTTTTATGGTTCCCTGTCCCAGACATTGGGTTACCCATGAAGGTACACGTATTTGAACAAATTTGGCGACAAGAAGCGTTCTGACAATATACAGTTAGGTCATAAACTCGGGTCAGAGTGTCCGAGACAAACTAGTATACCTGGATCCATGATAGTTTATTACGTTTTACAGCACTTGTCCCCAGAAGCGAGTCCGTTAAGTACGAGATCATCGAGGTACAGTCCGAGGGAGAGCGAGAGCGAGCCAACACCGGCACTGCCCAGGAAAACCGACTCCTCTTCAGCTTCCCAGAGAATACGAGAGGCCATCACGAGAAGTAGAAGAGAGTCGAATAGCAGCACCAGATACGAGAGCAGCGGCAGCGAAAGCATCAGGTGCGTTTGGTTCAAAAAAGCAGGGTGACGCTGCAATGTTAAGAATCTTTCTTCATAGAATGTGATAAACATTTACTGTGTCTATAGGTTATAGGTTATTTTATAAGTTAATATCCTCCATTACCTAGTGTTCTACATTACCGACCAACGATAAATATTTTTGTTAACCAGGCTAAGCGAGACGGGTTTGCACGGATACGCGGAGGTGGCCCGGAAAGTGAAATTATTCGACGGCGGCGGAAGCGGTGCTGTTCCGTCGGCCATCGGAAGTGACGAAGTAGTGCAACGTGATAGTGCAACAAGTGCAGGGGAAGACGAGTCCCACGATGATAATCATGGGAGAACAGGTCCCGTTTCTTCTCAAGGAAGAAGCATATTTCGGAGGAGAAGACAATTTGATGCGCAAGGTATGTCGACACGAATTTCTTTCATATGTATGGTAATAGGGATGGGGAGGAATATTTAGATAATAGGGCGTTCACATCTTCATCTTTCCTAAGTTCAATGGTTAGTTCGCATCTGGTATCTGGGTAAGATCCCAGAGGAAGGAATCCAAGACCTTGGTTTATCTTTGGATTCATAGGTTTAAGTGGAGTCTCTGGATTTGTTAGTCTCCCTGGGGTTTTCTATGAGGACTTCCATTTATCTAAGGTTCTATGTCTAGTGTTCCTCTGGATTTTAAGTGGGGTTTCCCTAAATTTTATCTAGGGTTCCTCTAGGTTTTAAGCGGGGTCTCCCTAGATTTAATCTAGGGTTCCTCTGAATTTTGTCTGAGGTCCCTCCACATCCTCCTTCAGTATTATTGGTTATAGGTCCTCCCTAGGTCCTATAAGTCCTGTAGGATCCTCCTTGTAGAGTTTTGCGTTAGTCTCTACCTGAATTCCCCTGAATTCTGTTGAGGATCTTCTGCTCTACCTAAGACCCCTGGATCCTTTCAGAATCAAATAAGTGCTTGTCGTCCTCTATGGCCCTCCATCGTCCTCCATCGCTCTCCATCATCCAAAGCAGTCAATTAGGTCTACCAACCCCCAGCTATAAAACCACCCAACTCCACACTCGGACATAGCATCCGCTGTCCAAGACATTCGTCCCAAATACTAAAACCTTGGAATGTAGGATAAACTGTTATTAAACAAAGCATTGTTCAACGACACGGTTCATAACGAACTATTTAAGTCTACGATTCGAGAAGAAAACCTAATTAGAGTGGCAGTGGCTAATTATCGCGAGTAACATTTCGCTTTCGCGGCCAGCTCCGTTGGCTCGCGTGCCCGCGCGAATGCAAATGAGCCTCGGATCCTTTTGTTTCGATGTGGTGCTCGAACCCGTTCCAGGACAGCGGCAAGTTAATATGCAAATCAGCCGAGAACGTTATTATTCGCAAATCCGTGGCTCCGCGGTTGTTGCGCTTAATGAATTACGATCGTGTAAGAGATAGTGGCATTTGATCGATGGCCGCGATAGCGGTTTCAACGAAAGTACAAATATTATTCGTGCCACGATACGAATTAGCGATACTTGAAGGAGCGATCGCTCGAATTATGTAATTCGGTTACGGTCATTCATTGGTCGTTCGAAAGGTTCGACATTTCTATTTATAACCGCGTTTCAAAACGCCTCGTCGTATTTCGCACAGTCATTTTACGACGTTTGTATGCGATTGCGCTTCTTTTTTATGCCCGAGGATATTTGGTCACTGAACTGTGCCTGCGGACTAGTTAACGGGCTTTAATCGCAAATAATGAATATTAACACATATGTATGTAGGATAGTGCAGTTGTATATGTGATATGTGATACAAAATTTTTTTCCAGTTTATTCGTGTTTGGTTAGATTAGGATTGATGTTGGTTATGTTAGGGTTAGGTTAGATTAAATGATATCTGCTCATATTAGGTTAGGTTACATTAGACTTATGTATATGAGGTTAGGTTAAACTTATGTATATAAGGTTAGATTAAATTAAACTTATTTATATGAGGTTAGGTTAGATTAAGCTTATTTATATGAGGTTAGGTTAGATTAAACTTCTGTATATGAGGTTAGGTTAGATTAAACTTATGTATGAAAGGTTAGGTTAGATTAAACTTATTCATATGAGGTTAGGTTAGATTAAACTTATGTATATAATGTTAGATTAGATTAAACTTATTTATATGAGGTTAGGTTAGATTAAACTTATGTATATGAGGTTAGGTTAGATTAAACTTATTCATATGAGGTTATGTTAGATTAAACTTATGTATATTAGGTTAGGTTATATTATATATAATTAAATTGAGGAGCAGTCTCATTGTTCCTCGTCTTTCTTGGCATGTTACACAGAGCTACCACTTTAAAGTTGCACATCCTAAGCAGCCACAGTGTCTTGGTTTTTATGTTACCTCACGAGTTTTGTATAAAATCTATATAATGTATAAGTACAGATAACAAACTTGTAAATATAAAAATTGAAGTGTACGAAAGATCGTAACTCCATATAATAAAAAGCACGCGTGACGTATCGTTACCCGAAGATAAGTCCATCGATTATTGAAACCATCGACACAGTGGCCCTCATGAAACCAGTCAGTATTCGTGAAACCCGTGAAGTATTATCAGCGCATCGTGTACGAGGTGTTTCCGTATCGCAGTCGAAACACACGTCCGTCGATAAGCGTCCGTCATTTCGTGCGTGTCGTTGAACGACCGTGGAACACGTACCAATCGCGGCCGTCTATCGAAACCGATATCCGAGTGATCCGTTTTCTTTTTTCGAACTTTTTAATTGACAACGAGAGTAGAAAAGGATCGGAATGTGAAAGTAGCCCGAGTTTTCCGGTTTAATGGTGCAGAAAAGAAGCGATGTACGCGCCGCTTGTTTTGTCCGCGATTTCGCATGATATAAGCGCGACCGAGGCATCGACTCGAATGCAAATCGCAACGATGTGAGATATCGCGAGGGACCGCGCATCCTGCAAACATGGACGTGAGAAGAATAACCCAGCTATTAATCACGGTCTTCGTGTCCATGTACTTTCTGTTCTTCTATGCCGCGTTCGCAGTTGTCCTCTACTTCCTGTGGTTTGGAAACCGGTCCGCACCACCCGCTGCGAAATCCAGTTAACACCGACAATCCGACATTCTGCTGTTTTCATATTGTAATTGACGTCAGGATTCTTTCGACGTGATTCACATCTATGTCGACGGCTGCACTCTCGTTATATTGCCGCTTGTCTACATTCGCTTCATTACCGACGCTATTTTAACATTTCAATCGGGATTATTTCACGTTAGGTTGGGTTATGATGATAGGTGATTCACCTCTCTGTCGAGGGCTGCACTCTCGTTATATTGCCGAAACGCTCGTTTACATTCGCTTCATTACCAACACTCTTTTAACATTTTAATCGGGATTATTTCAGGTTAGGTTAAGTTATGATGATAAGTGATTCACCTTTCTGTCGACGAATGCACTCTCGTTATATTGCCGGGACGCTCCTATACGTTCGCTTCACTACCAACACTCTGTCAATGCTCTTTTAGGTTAGTTATCGTGTTTCAAGTTTGTGCAAGTAATACCTTAAGATCTCATTTGCGAAAGTTCGACAGATTTTTTAAATAAATTTTAAAAAGAAAAGGTGTTATTTTGAGACACCCTGTATAAGCATCGCAGGTGAGCGGAGTATGGAGCAAAACAGAGAACGTTGTTACACTATTGTTTCTATGGTGTTTCCCTTGGGTCTCGCTTCGCTTCGTCTCACCTGCTCGTTCGTCCGCTTCTCTGCCGCTCTACGCCTGTTCCCGGCTATTTTTTTTTGCTTTTATTTCTTTTTTGTAGCAGCTTCAGCCGCGAAGGTTACTGCCTATATTTTTCAGTTTTTCTAGCATTTCATTTTGCTTTGTTATACGCTCAGTTATACGCTGTCACAAAATATAGTCACAAGTATTTTTTAAATTCCATTGTTCAATTTACTGGCGTGAAATTTTTTTGCAGTGAACTTAAGCTTTCAATTTTTCAATCTTTCAAAAGACCCTAGAACCGATCCGAAAATTATCACGTAAATTAAATATATTTCCCCAAGAAACAATTTTGCTCTATCGACTACAGTACGGTGATATTAAATCGCAAGAGTGAATCGACGTTTCAAAATCCGCCATTTGCAATGCAACAGGCCAATAATTATATGGTAGCCTGCACCGAACACGTGCCTATGAAAATATTATAGAAAGAACAATGTAAACAAGATAGGTGTATTTACGTAAGCAAGATAAGAAACGGCACTACTTGTAGAATGACCCGATTAACACACGCTCGAACCTACGACAAACCTACTGCTTCGCTACTCCCTTCACGCCTAACCTCTTACATCATGTTCGATCGTTTAGCGGTTTAACATCCTAAAAAGGAGCAATCGGTAAATTGTCGCTTGTGAAATGCTTTCTTTAGTGGACGCTTGCAAATGGTTGCAAGGATGGATGCGACATTTTGTCGAGGTTTAATGTTGTTGGGTTTAAGTTTGGAGGGCTTTTTGTGTGGTGACTTTAATAGGTACTTTAGGGATAAATTGCTGTTTTTAACATTGTAGTGTGACATTTAGCGTCTTTAATAGTTATTCTAAATATTTGATATTAATTTTAAGGGACGTTTTAAATTTGCTGTTTTAATGGGTGCAAGGTTAATTGAAAATCAAAGTCAATTCTAATAGTTCATTTTTTGGTATCTGAATCCTTAGATTATCAAGTTATCAAGATCCAAATTTCTAATTTATTAAATCCTTAAATTCTTACTTTTCCCAAGTTTCTAGCTTCCCAAATTATTAAATCCCCAAATTCCCAGCTTCCCAAATTCCAAAATCCCCAAATTTCCAGCTTCCCAAATTCCAAAATCCCCAAATTCCCAGCTTCCCAAATCCCAAAATCCCCAAATTCCCACATCCCCAAATCCCTAAATCCCCAAATTCCCAGCTTCCCAAATCCCAAAATCCCCAAATTCCCACATCCCCAAATCCCTAAATCCCCAAATTCCCAGCTTCCCAAATCCCAAAATCCCCAAATTCCCACATCCCCAAATCCCTAAATCCCCAAATTCCCAGCTTCCCAAATCCCAAAATCCCCAAATTCCCACATCCCCAAATCCCTAAATCCCCAAATTCCCAGCTTCCCAAATCCCAAAATCCCCAAATTCCCACATCCCCCAGCTTCCCAAAT